CTGATTAAGTTTTAGAATTTTAAATAGATTTCATGATATATAATTGAGGAGGAAATGTATTCAAAGAATGGTTTGTTACTTTGGCGCCATTGATATTACCAGAGACATGGACCCAGATTTATTGAATGTTGTTCGTCCTTTCTCCATCAACTAAGAAGTCATTCTGTTGGAAACATTAAAGTTACAATTGCTCAATATCTTAATACAAACGTTCAATTTTATACAGCAATTCATTTAGAGGCATTTCAATGGAAACTTAATCTTAATTATAATGAAACAATGTTTAAATTTGGTATAAAATACTAAATCTGAAAACGAGTTTTATCCTCAGTTCTTCTTAAGATTCATTGATAGAATGGTAAAGTGTCGAATGTTATATTTTATAATGTTGGAATCTGTTTAACAGTATTTCTAAAAATGGTATTACTAGTATATACATAAATGTTCAATGAAACAATCATCTCTCTTATAATATTATGAATGTGAACACCTCATAGTACGATATTTGTACTATATCTATATAATCTTACAGCAATCATTTTATATTAGTTTACATTACTAGAAGAAAATAGGACTGAACCAATTTTGAATCGCTTTGTATCTAGAAGGCCCATATGACCTGGATTTGCAGCATTGTAATTGTTATCTACAATATAATGTTTGGCGATATTTATATAAAGTCATAGCTTAGAGCTTTGGGGAAACAGATTTAGCGTGAAAACTTTCGAATCATTTAGAGCAAAATCGATACATTCGTAATCCATAGACGTGACTTATTACCTTCGAACTGAACTGCTCAGATTTTAACTTAATCTAAAATAACCATTTAAATCCAATTTACTTCCGAACTAACTTCATATCTTAACGCTTATCAACAATATTCTACCGAGATGATATCCACTTAAAACCAATTTAAGATAAATTGGTCATTAAATATTTCGGGAGCTTTAGCAAAGAAAAGCTATTAATTTTCAAACGAAATTGATGAAAAATGCCTACGTTGTTTAATACCTTTGTTTAAAACACCCGCTTCAAATATCTGAACCGTAGATGTCTCACTAACGAGTAAGAATTTTGCTTGTATAGCAAACCCCCTATTGGTCATTTTAATGATTTTAGAACAGGTTAATCTAAAAGCTTACAAAATCTTCCTGTGTTTGATAAATGGACGGTGTCAATAAAAGTAATATACAGGTGTCTATATTGACTAAAGAGGTCACAGCACACCGAAAGATTAACCATGGAATTGCCATACGTGCGTATATAATTTAATCTCTAAAAAATTGTCAATTTAGAAGTAATTTGCTACTTTATGTAAACTAGAATATTAGAAAGGCTAAAGGATAAATAAGTATGTGTGAAGAATATATTACTGTTAAACCATCTTTTCACAATGAAGTACTCAAAATGATAAAAATACCGAACCAAGTTGTTGTACTAATACAGACAAACACAGAGTACCAAAGTGTTAATAACCCTTTCTCTGCAAGTGGCAACTGAATACATGTAAACCCATGCGACCAGTGCAGACAAAGATCAGCCGGCACATGTTCCCATTTAGGTCGTCAGTACATTTTTTGGAAATTACTATGAATTGATGTTTTTGTCCCGAATGAAAACCAAGTCCGTGAAAAATATTTATCCAGCTAAGCGTATAATTACGTTATCTATACATTTCTATAGTAAAATCTGGAACAGCGGGTACTGATTCCACGAACTAGAGTGAAGTGTATACGTAAGGAGTACGCCAGGGTTTTCGGGGATGTAGTGCTACCTAGGATGCAGTAGATATATAACCAGTATGTCTGACTTACCGAGGATGTAGTGTATACGTAACGAGTAAGCCTGGGTTACAGAGGATGTAGTGTATACGTAACGAGTACGCCTGGGTTACCGAAGATGGAATGTATACGTAACGTTTGTTTTTTTTTTCTTTCTTTTTTTCAAATGAGGCCGTGTTGTATAACTTGTTGAAGTTTGTCGACCAATAAGATACTAAAACGTTTTTTTTTTTAACGTTTTTTTTTTGTCTATAGCATTTTCAGATTTTAGAGTATTAACTTCAATTGGCCTGTTATAAATGCTTAATGTTTTTGTTTTGTTGCAAACAGGACTTTAGTAAAACGGATGTTGTTCTACATCATATTGGAGTTTCACTGTATTTCTATGTTGATACAGAATCCTTTCCTCTTTCTTAAATAAGTCCTACACTTGTATGGTGTTGGCCTTTTTATCTTTATTTTCAAAAGATTTTACATTTCGAACGTGTGTGTCTGCTGTCACTTGCGACAGGACATAGCGCAATGTCGTGTTTAGAATCATAGTCCAGTTAGCTTGAATGAGTAGTATGACATACTAGAGGTTTGTTCTAAACTTTCAATGAGTTTACATTATCTTTGATGGGAAATAATGATGTCTAATGTGCATAGATAATTCTGCCCAGATCATCTTGGACACAACACTGAACTGGATACCTTGTTGGTGTCGAGTTGTTTCTCTCTCCTTTAGCCACTGGTTGATGTATGGCACACTTTCACATTATCCATATATTTTAATACCTGGACAAAGTTTTAATAAATTGTATATAAGTCCACTATTATGCATGTACACTTTCATTAAGGATAACGGATAATGTTTTAGTGATTCAAATGAGCCCGTGATGAAACCTTGTAATTGATGAAGTTTGTCGACAAATAAGATACTAAATTACACACCTGCTTGTGAATAAAACTTTCAATAGAGTATTAACTTTGATTTTTTTTTGTTATAAATACGTGTTTTATGATAAATGTTTTATTTTGCAGCAAAACGGATGTTGTTCCACATCATGTGGTAGTTTAACTGTATTTTTATACACAGTCCTTATGTACTTCTTAAATACGTCCTACACATCTTTTGTTTGATGTTGATCTTTTTCAAATCTTTTTTTCAGGCGGTAAAAGCACTTTGCTTGCTGTAAAAGTTACAGTAGACATCTTGGACAAAACATTGAACTGAATACCTTGATAGTGGCGATTTGTTAATCTCCTCTTCCGCCATTGGTTCATGTAAGCTACACTTTCAGTTTATCTCAATTCTCTTCCAACCGCAGGATACTAGACTGTCGCCTTTAGGCTTTTGAATTATTGAAATCCAGGCAATGAAAAGAGCGTCATCATTGAAAACATTCATACATGTTTAATTTGTATGTAAGTACCGCTCTTTTTATGTAAAAAATGTACTTTTTAATGGACTTAATTGCTTACGGCCGGGTGATTGTTGTTGTTTTTTCTTCTGTATTCGAATTTTACTCCTCTACATTTACGGTATCAAAATTAGGATACTTTTCTTTAGAACCATTCAAATCAATGCTTAACAGTCACATTATTACAACATTATTTTGCAAGAAAAAGATAAATTGGTCTGAAGAGTTGTGAAAGTGCTCACAATTTACGGTGGCATCGCGGATATATCAAATAAACTGCAGAAAAAATAATGGAAACATTATGTCAAGAATTGTCGACGGCTTTATGCATCTAAATGGTTATAAATATTTTAAAAAATATACGTAAGCTTGAAGGGAGGTAATCCCAGAATCTTGTTTTTACTCTATCTGGCGAGTAGTCTTTTGTTAAGAAATATTCCCTTTCTTAAATCATCTAAAATATGTTGTTTTATTTCTTACTTAAGTGATAAAAGTTACATTTGTGAATGAAATTTCATAAACCTTTATATAACCCTACATAAACATCTTCAGAAGCACGAGGATGTACCTAAATCCCGAGAGGGGGATTCAATAAGTCTGGGCGATTCTGCAGATACATACATGTATGTCTCAATGAATGACAAAAAAGTGAATGAGCGCATTTCTTACACAAACACTTGAGTCTAATTCGGAACTCCGCGTACGTTATTTGTCACTCGGGTTTGTCTTGATTTCCACGTGTCATGCCATTGGTCAGTTATGTTTCGATAATAATGACCACCGGGGCCGTCATTGTAGTTAGCTGTATTATATGATACTCTAAGTCAGGCATATAAAAACAACAACAACAACAACAACAAAGTGCAACAACGGCGCGTGTTCGCGTGATTTTATCCCTTTATACATATTTTCTTTTGCGTTAAAATATCACTGCGTGCGCAGTTTTATGAGAGAATAAACATTATGATAATTATTACGCTTAGTGCCTCCTACAGCATATTTGTACAGTATGTTTAAGTTGACGTTCAAATGTGCAAGCATTGTACTTTCAATATATACTGTATTATGTTTATGTAAATTTTTATTTTAATTTGGGGCTTTTTTTCTATAACATTGATGGTATAAACAGGAAGAGGAACTTCTATATATTTTCTAAACGTTCTAGGAATGTGTGATATCCCCCATGGTATATAAGTAAAGTATAATTTATATATTCAACACCATTATATTTTATATTCTCAGTCCATAAACTTATATTTATATCTGAACTTGCTACATTTATTCACCTCAATGTAATTAGACCTTACCACAAAGTTCATCATAAAAATGACTTACTACACTGACACATATTTTTAAAGGCCTAAAGGACAGGACAAATCAAACGCACCAGTGATTTGACTTCACACTATATAATGTATTAACAATAAAAGATCGATAAAATTAACTTTTGTAAATAGTTTATAATTTATATTGACTAACTATATGTACATACATGTATATATTCACATTTATATGATTTTAGATTTAAACAAAAAGTATTTATTCTAAAAAATTGTGCAATATATTGAAATAAAGTAATTGTAATATGTATTCCCTGTGTTGCCTGCAATTTGCTTGAGTAAGTCTTGACTTTTTTTTTTGCTTTTTTTTAAATTTATTTTATTGTGTGTATGGGGCTAAGGTTTGGCAGGTGGTGGTGCTGCGGTGCCGTAGCTTCAAAATAATTAGTCAGTCACGGCGATTTCAATTGCGCTGAAACGCTTGGAGGCAAATGAAAACAAATAATATGATGCCGGTAAAATATTTGTATTTCACATAATATTAATAAATATAAATAAATTACATAAGTCTTAAGTTATCAATTCTACCAATGCCCGATTTGATACTGGATGTTGCCATGGTTTTCTTTTTTTACAAAAAAGGTCAACTAAGCTAACTCCATTAATAAATATAAAGCACAAACTTCATACGACATTAACATACACACATTCAGGTCTAATAAAACACGCATTTCCATAATCACCATTCATATAAATATATAAATAAATATATAATAAAGTGAATATATAAGACGCCTTGGATTTAATGTGGATTTGGCACAATCTTGCATCATCAGCTCTTCCATTCTTCAAAGTTTATGTCTGCTATTTCACTGCAGTTTACTTTTCTATTTCTGCAACGAATAAAACATCAATTATTATTAAATTGACAGATTATAATTATAAATAACAAAGTTTGTAGTAAAAATAATCGTAAGGAAATCACAGTATTAATTAAACAGAAATGAATCTTGGTTAATCCGAAGTCCATCTGGCATTCACTGCGGGACATTTACGAATCCCTAGACATACGAAATATAAAAATATACTTACGAATCCCTAGACATACGAAATATTAAAATGTACTTACGAATCACTAGACATACGAAATATGAAAATATACTTACGAATCACTAGACATACGAAATATGAAAATGTACTTACGAATCACTAGACATACGAAATATTAAAATGTACTTACGAATCACTAGACATACGAAATATTAAAATGTACTTACGAATCCCTAGACATACGAAATATTAAAATGTACTTACGAATCACTAGACATACGAAATATTAAAATGTACTTACGAATCCCTAGACATACGAAATATTAAAATGTACTTACGAATCCCTAGACATACGAAATATGAAAATATACTTACGAATCACTAGACATACGAAATATTAAAATGTACTTACGAATCACTAGACATACGAAATATTAAAATGTACTTACGAATCACTAAACATACGAAATATTAAAATGTACTTACGAATCCCTAGACATACGAAATATGAAAATGTATTTACGAATCACTAGACATACGAAATATTAAAATGTACTTACGAATAACTAAACATACGAAATATTAAAATGTACTTACGAATCCCTAGACATACGAAATATGAAAATATACTTACGAATCCCTAGACATACGAAATATTAAAATGTACTTACGAATCACTAGACATACGAAATTTTAAAATGTACTTACGAATCCCTAGACATACGAAATATGAAAATATACTTACAAATCACTAGACATACGAAATATTATATGTACTTACGAATCCCTAGACATACGAAATATGAAAATGTACTTACGAATCACTAGACATACGAAATATTAAAATATACTTACGAATCACTAGACATACGAAATATGAAAATATACTTACGAATCACTAGACATACGAAATATAAAAATATACTTACGAATCACTAGACATACGAAATATAAAAATATACTTACGAATCACTAGACATACGAAATATTAAAATATACTTACGAATCACTAGACATACGAAATATGAAAATATACTTACGAATCACTAGACATACGAAATATGAAAATATACTTACGAATCCCTAGACATACGAAATATTAAAATGTACTTACGAATCACTAGACATACGAAATATTAAAATGTACTTACGAATCCCTAGACATACGAAATATTAAAATGTACTTACGAATCCCTAGACATACGAAATATTAAAATGTACTTACGAATCACTTGACATACGAAATGGATCAACTGGAACTTGTGTCATGTTAAAATGTAAGCATATCAGCTTGTTTATTGTAATCTTCTTTATACTGTTTATTTGATCTGAAAAAATAGTTTAGGTATTGTTATTCAACACTTAAAAATCGCAGATTTCAAATCAATTATAAAAGTTTAAATGTGTCATATACTTGCTAAAAGTATACATGTACATAATAATTATATTACGAAGGCTGCAAATACAATTAGCAGCAATAAAGTAATTCAAACAAAAAATGAATAAAGTCATTATTATGATAATAATGATATTAAAGGATAAAATATTTCATCTTTAAAATTAAAACTAAACATGAAAGAGAATTTCTCTTAAAGATAAAGGTGATAAAGGGAATCTATGGAAACTGATTTTCACAATTTCCACTATCTTTTTTTCAAAGTCACACCAAAATGTAAATCATGGAACTTCAATATTATAGAAAATATTAAATAATTTACTGATAGTAAATCCTGTATTTCCCTCGTTCTCGTAGTAAAATCTATCTCCAAATTTAAGATTTTGAAACTGCAATCCAATAATGCAATTAAAAACAGGCCCAACGACAGCACCAGGCAATGGGGTCTCTGAAATTCCACCGGAAAACACATCTATATCCTCAACGCTCCTGTAATGTGTTATTCATGTTATTAATCTGCGAGTTTATTAAGACGATATTCATTGGTTATTCATGGCGTCTATATTATTCTTATACATTAATTCATTGCTTTATATGTTTATCAATTAGAGTAATTGTTCAGCAATAAAATTGAAATAATAATTATACGATTGATCACACGGCCGTGTAAAAACGACTGTTAGCCATATAACCATAACCAAGAGCTATAGGGTTATGCAAGCTTATCGCCTCATAATAATATAACCTGTCACAAATCTTTATTACTAATATTATATCATATAGAATTTATTTCAACTAATAGGTGAAAACATTTTGCAGGATTGTTATGAATACAAATAATCTATTTTGTTGTAACTCCTGGCATAAAACAACAAACACAATAAACAGCATGTTTAAACCATAAATGGTATTAGTTGATTTAAATGATATCCATTCCTCTATCACATTCTCTGTACAAAATATATTTTATAACCTTTTAGTGCGTCTGAAATATAATAACATAAGCTTGTTTGATTTGTAATACAGTCATCATATAAAGAGATTTAGACTTTTAACAGTATACGAGGGTTGTCCCAAAAGTCCGTGACAAATTTTATAGCCGGTTCATTTTTAACGCCAACAGAAAATAATTCACACATATAACCGTTAAGTTTATTATTTAACATAACAACAAATCATTTACAAAAAATTTACCCTAGTTATTAGAAATTTTCAAATCGTCATTAAACGTCAAAATTTAAATGTGTACTGTGTACTGCTAAAAAGTAATACAGTACATAATAATTATATTACGAAGGCTGCAAATAACAATTTAGCAGCAATAAAGTAATTCAAACAAAAAATGAATAAGTCATTATTATGATAATAATGATATTAAAGGATTAAATATTTTCATCTTTAAACTTAAAACTAAACATGAAAGAGAATTTCTCATTAAAGATAACGTACATTGATAAAGGGAATCTATGGAAACTGATTTTCACAATTTCCACTATCTTTTATTTTTTCAAAGTCACAACAAAATGTAAATCATGGAAATTCAATATTATAGAAATATTAAATAATTTACTGATAGTAAAATCCTGTATTCCCTCGTTCTCGTAGTAAAATCTATCTCCAAATTAAGATTTTGAAAACTGCAATCCAATAATGCAATTAAACAGAACAGCCCAACGGACAGCACCAGCAATGGGTCTCTGGAAATTACCACCGGAAACACATCTATATCCTCAACGCTCCCTGTAATGTGTTATTCATGTTATTAATCTGCGAGTTTTATTAAGACGATATTCATTGGTTATTCATAGCGTCTATGATTAATTCTTATACATTAATTCATTGCTTATAGTTTTATCAATTAGAAGTAATTGTTCAAGCAATAAAAATTGAAATAAATAATTATATCGATTGATCACAACACGGCGTGTAAAAAAACGACTGTTAGCCATATAACCATAACAAGAGCTATAGGTTATGCAAGCTATCGCCTTTGCATACATAATATAACGCTGTCACAAAATTCTTATTACTAATATTATATCATATAGAATTATTTCAACTAATAGTGAAAACATTTTGGGGCAGGATTGTTATGATACACAATTTTAAAAATCTATTTTGTTGTAACTCCCTGGCATAAAACAACGAAACACAATAAACAGCATGTTTAAACCATTAAATGGTATTAGTTTGATTTAAATGATATCCATTCCCTCTATCACAGTTCTCTGTCAAAATATATTTATAACCTTTTGGGCGTCTGAAATATAATAACATAAGCTTGTTTGATTTGTAATACAGTCATCATATAAAGAGATTTAGACTTTTAACAGTATACATGTATAATATTAATAGGATTTTAAGATATATCATTATTCTAAAGGTTATAGCGACTTTCCAGTTTTACGTTTTCCTGTTAGAGGAATAGCTCAGGTCCACCTTTGCGCATATATTCAAACAGGGTTGGGCACCTACATAGAATAAGACATGGCTTGAAACCACAGTGGTGACAAAAGGATGCCGAAGGACACCAATTTAGAGTTAGCAAGGCTGGCCGGTAAAAACTAATTATCCCAAATAGGACTACATATTTGAATGATGTGTGTTTAAAATACTACAGCAGGGGACAAAATAAAACACAAACCTGTAAACTGAACTTAATTTGGCAGCGTCCGCTTCAGAGTGGTCTATCAGACCTCCAGCAGTGGTTTGGAAATGAAAGGCGTACGGCAGACCACAAAAACGCCTCCACTCATTATAACTGTGTCGTGCAGAAAAAGAAATACAATTGATTTTGAATCAACATCAGAAAGTATACATGTCGCTCAAACAAGTAAGTGATTCAAAATTCTCAAATTTTGTCAGTTTTTCATGTGCTGCTAAAACAATTAGGACAGAGCAAAGGGTAAATACAATGCAAAATTGTCGATCAAAGAAAAGGCAAGAATTCAACATTGCTCTTTGCCCACGTTTCGACAACGAGTACCTCATAATTTAAACGTTTGTATAAATCATGTTTTATTTCATGTCCTAATTCAGCGTATTAAAACTAAATAGTCTAGAACAGAAATGGAGAGAAAAAAAATCAAAAGAAAAAACAACAACAAAAAACAAAACAAAAAAGGGGAAAGATGAAGCGTACAATTACAGAATTTCGTCTTTTTGGATATTTATATTTATGAAACTATTCTAAATTGTGACTGTATGTACCATCTATATTCCCTTTGTAAATTAAATATGAAATAAAACCTAAATGTTTTCAGGCAAAACGCAATTTGTAAGGAAGATGTATTCCAAAATACAGATATAGCTTATGAAGGATTTTATGTCCCTGAAAATACTTGAATGTGTATGTGCCTAATACGATTGTGGACATAAAACAGCAAGAACATCTTACCTCGGAACACCGTGGTCACGACCTCGTTGTATGTTCAAAGCTACTAGATCAGTACTTAGTCCATTGTCATCTAAAAACAAGTTATTTCTAACGCTTTCAACAATCTGTCCATCAGCTTTGCTTGATGGGTTAAACATTAATCCTTGACCCACGTGCGAATTTCCTTCGCCCATCTCGTGAAAAATTAAAGCAGGACGGTTGAATGCGTTTTCATTTTTCACTAAAGTTTCTTTATTAGTTTTTACGACCACGTGATCTCGTAAAAGAGTATGTCCAAATCTGAAGGCAGCCACGCTAAATATATTTGTTATTGTCGGATTTATGTCTTTGTTGTACACATTGTTATAACCTGAGGGTGAAGTACTCAGGCCCAATCTTTTTACAGTGTCAGGTCCCAAAACCATTGAAAGCCATGTGGTGAAAGTGATGTGTTGAAATTCACCAATCACAATTTTTCTAGTTTCTTGGTATAATTCTTCATCTGACCACTGCGGGTTCAACATTTGTAATATACCAGCGATGCGATTGTGTTCTCGTAGAAACAGAACTTGTATAGCAGTTAAACCTGGCATTTCGTGTATTCTAAAATCTCCTGCAAGAAAGATAACAAAGGATTGAACTCACTACATGTACAGTGCTGGAGCAGTACATTTTGACAGTTGCAAGAAATCATGATCACAAATAAGATGAATATCGCCCTTTTGCGCTTATATATTTTTCACTCCTGATCGTATATAAATTGGTATGAAGAGATGAATTAAACATATTAGGTTAAAAAGTCGATACATTCAGGTGCCTTGTCCGGTATATACCATAATTTAGTGCGGTGCTCCACTTTGATTCGTCTCACTCAATAACAAAAGGGTAAAATTTAATGAATCTCATTTACAAAATGCAATGTTACACTATATAATACAAATCCTTGACAGGTTTGAATATGTATCAATAGAAAACGGTCGTTTTGGGGCTTATTTTTAACAACAGTCACAAATATGTAATATGTAAGTTGTTGCTTTGATAAATCTTTGAACCGCAAAAGAATCATACTGTATATAGCTGATATAACTTTAAAAGAACTCAATTTTCATTAGTAGAGCTACTTATAAATCATAAAATGCCTTGTAGCAATTACAAATCGTTTGATGCAGTGAAAGCGTCTGTAATTTGATTGATAAAAGTTTGAAATTATATGCTATTAGTAACATAAATAGATATATTAGTAATATGATCAATCTTTCATAAATCTTTAAAAGATTTTATGGTAAATCATTGATAAAGACATTGATATGTAGCCGTTTCACAGACTTTGTCACTATCCTTTTTCACAAGTATAGATAAGGAAGTGCAAACCTTAAAAAACACCGGCTATTAAAACCTCACCACGCTAAATATCATAAATGAACGTATCCATCTTTCATTCAGGGCAAAAACATTAAACATTTTGTGGAAAACTTTCGTACGAACTGACTGAACAGCGAACAGTGCATATCATAACAATACTGTCATGGTTTCATGGATAGAAACATTGGCTGCCACAACAGACTATGACTTGAACAACTGAATAATGAATGCATGTTATGTATGAATAATCTATTTTTTTATCTCGTTATTGGCTCTAAGCCAAAGCATAGCACAAGATAAATGCATCACTAATATCAATCTTTGTCATGTGCATGTACTGTCACATACAGTTGTTATAAATTTTCATATATGATAGCATATTAAAACAATTTTGAAACCAAGAAACAACATTAAAAGTAACAGTTACTGTACCTGATCTCATGCAATATTCGTCCTGACCAGAGAGCTGACAATGTATCATGTCTACTTGTCCTCCTCTAAACAGTCCAAACTCTGACATTCTCATTTTACCTATAAATGGTATATATAAATACATGTAGTATATAACAAACGTATATAATGTTTCTGAATTAAAGTTACTCTTATGCTCAAAATATATCTAAAGTCAATGAAATTTCTTGAGTTTATTTTTATTCGCCTCATTTCAAGACTAAAAGTATATTTGTCATTGCTTCATATGAATCAGTTTGCTAATTTATGTGTAAACAGTGAATGGAATACATAAAATATTTTTCAAACCAATAATTCAACGGTCAAAAACAAACCATAGATAGTAAAAGTCTTTAAACAACAGCAGGTGTCAAGTGCCGTGTGGAAGCTGTAAAAAGTTGCCCTGTACTTCACTTCAGTGTTGTTATATTTTTCTGGTTTCTCGGGATCATTTATTCCAACATTCAACGTTCAAGCCGGTGCTAAGGAGCATGAGAGATTTTGCACCTTTTCATTATCCCTCATGTAAAGAATCAATCAAACTGACTTTGCAATTTCCATGTATTTTTAACGATAAATGCTTTAAGATTTTAAAATCAGAATGCAAGGAGAAATAACTGCCTGTCATATAGACCAAAAGCGTTTTATGGCTTCTTGATAAATCCAGTTGTTTCATATCATAAACACCAGTCTATTTAGTATGCATAGATATTGTTTTAAAAACGTGTGACAATAATAACATAACACATTATAGTACAGCAGTGTAAAGCAATTTATAAAGTGTTGCTGCTTTTAACATCGGAACAATTGTTTTTGCTATTTACCATCCGAAAAAGTTCGTAACTGGTTCCCGTCCTCAACATTATGACCGTATAGGAATGACGCATCTATGTAGGAAGTTGCCTGGTTCAACTGATTTCTTCTTCCTATCAAGTGAGAGAAAATTGCAGAATGTTATATATGTGAACTTAAGTATTTGGCAGCTACAAAATGTTGCCACGTACTTTATTGCAGTATTGTTATACTTTTCTTGTCTTTGGAGTTATTGGTTGTTATACATTTGAAGAATGAATACTGGTTTAGCCAGTCGGTGCTAGGAAGCGTTAGAGAGGTTGCACTTTCCAAATCATTCTTAGATTGTAATCTATGCAGTTGTTTCCTTTGTTTTCATTTATTTCGAGGGATCTTAAATTGTCCCAAAATTTTACAAATTGAGGAAATGCAAAACTATGACATTGTTATGAGTTTATCAATGTTAATACGATTTGAAATTCAAAGTTTTGATGCAGCATCAGACCAACAATATATTCTCAAAATTTATAAATAAGTAAACGATTATCATACCACAGTTAACTGTTGTTTTGAATTCTTAGAAATTTAACATTTACTTGCGCTTTGTATGATATATGACATTTACAAACCATGGCTCTTGATATAATCAGACGACTTACCGATATTGCACAAGTCATCCGGTGTTGCTGTAGAACGAACAAAGTTCAAACATGTTCTATTACTAAAGCGTTCATCACCAGGGTCAACGGGTATTGGAAAACATTCTATTCTGAGGGTGAAACGAAATTTTGATAGCTGATTATATATTAAGTTATATGTAGCACCTTCATTGCATAAATTTGATGTTTTAATATATCACTTGAAAGAAATTTAGCTATGTATATATACTATTCTCTTGAAAAACGAAAACATTGTCTAAGTACATTTATTTATCAACAACTTAAACAGGTTATGATATATTGTTAACGCACATTGTTGATTGAATTTAGTAACTATAGAACTTGTCAATCACATTATGTATCATTTGAATATGTGTATTTGCTTGCGGCCATATATCGCAAAATATAAGTAAAGTATTTCATGATATACAACATACATGTATTTACATAGATGCTGAACAACTTTAGAACAAGTTGATCCATGTTTATCAGCTTATCGTCCTGTCTTTATTTCTATATTTACTTAGATGAAAAGATTTTTGAAATGTTCAAAAAAAATGTTGTATATATGTTCGTTAGTAGTGTGTATGTCCAAATGATTTATTTTTGAAGTATGTATAGCAAATGCATATGCAATAAATTAAGATAAAGCTAAATAAAACTCGTTTTAAATCAACTTCTTGGGAAAGATACTTCTTGAAATTTTATTTAATCTAATTGCTAATTCTATATTGTATTGAAAAACGAGTTATATATTCTTTGAACATGTATTTGCGTAAGTATGGAAAAGAAAACTTAAAAAACTCTACCGTTCACTGACAAGCTCAGGAGCTAGATCGCAACACACGATTGCAGAATTCTCGGCCCCTCTTGCAAATGCTGTGTCAGTAATATCGTGATCTAATAATTGACCCCATTGTTGGACAAACTGAGATAAATCCTCTTCCTCGGAAGGGCAGCATGCCGACTGCTGATGCACCACGTTGCTAACTGTTCTTGCACTCGGTAACGCAACCCCTGTTACACTTCTGAGCCGTGGTGAACCGTTACCTATTGGATGAATGATTTGGGGTTGTTTGTTTTTTTAAATACATGTAAATATTTCATTTATAATCGTTTTTCTTAATACAGCACTTCTGTACTAAAACATGATTTTCTCTTCAATGTATCTTTCAAACAACAATTAAAAGGAGACAAGATAATAATATGACAAAATCATAGAGTACAACAGTAATAGTAAATTTTATTGAAATCAAATCAAATCTTTCACTCAGTAGATGAGTATATATATACAATACATTTTGAAATGCTATTTCTGATATAGTTTTTAGTTCATATATATCTGCACAAAACAACATTGTCTGAAAGATTGAGTCATGACTCATGAAACAAAATTGAAGATTCTGACAAAAGTTTAATTCAAGATGAATGAACCATCACTTACATGGATTACGGCTTAACTTCACACTAATAAGAGCAATAAGATAAAGGTATTAAGATGTGACATGACGTCCTTGGTGTGAACTTTGAAGACAGAGATGATATCCTTAGGACGTTTATCTTTAAATAGATTTACTTTATTACTCGTTTAAATGATAAAGCACATTTCATTTGAATCTGTCTTTCTATTTTTTACATGTAATAATAATAATAATAATAATAATAATAATAATAATGTCGTATGACCTACCATCTTCGTATACTGGTGTAAGTAAACGTCTGTGTTGCCTGTTCGAACGGCCCCATAGCGGGTATTTTAGATTATTGCATGTACCGTCAATAGTTCTATATTTAGAATTTGGGTCGCAAGTGGCGACACGACGAGTACAAAACGGTGCAATGTATCTATGCCAAAAATACATCACACAATGACTTTGTCGTAATTCGTCTATGGCAACTCCAAGCCTAAAAATAGCATTTTTAGCAATAATTTTGAACATTTTATGCTGCACTTAATTTGTATATGCATGTTTCGCGATTTATAAACAAAGGCCAAGTTTCACAAAATAGGACGAAAATTATGAAATTATTCAAATATAATAATTATGCACCGACACTATTATGCATATATTTCGTTAAATACATTTAATTTGTTTATGTATTAGAACAGCATAGTAACAATTGCAAAACATTATGATTGCATTCAGTGCATATAATAATATTTCTTTTAAACATTACGGTTACAAATCTTTTTACGGAAAAGCCAATACAATTTATATCAAACCTTTCAGAAATATCATTTACAGCGAGTGCCACTATTGTCCCAGAGTCGGCTTCCTCCACTGCCGGTTGACGTAAAAAGGAATACACGGCGTAATGTTGATGACATGTCTTCGGCATATGTGCGTCAGGATTATTTAACTCGTCATGTCCTTAAGTATAAAATATATATTTTAGTCAGTACAGCCCTTAAAATATTATTGTTTAACTCTCTATCAATTGCATCCTCTCCCTATTTCTGATTGTATCACGTAACCGTCTTATATGCTTCATGCATTTGAACTTAATATTGTCCCTGGCCAACAGTAGATGGCTGTGTGTTTGACATTCATTTCTCTATACCATTCGGGATGAAAAATATCGGACAATGTCTATGAATATTGCAAAAGAGTAAATGACTGTTTGTGGACATTTTGCAAACACCGAACATGCTAAGTGAATGGGAAACATAATAAAATATAATAAATAAAGACTCACCTTTTAAACTATTCATAAATATGATTTGAATATAAAACAGATAGCATTGTTCCTTACAACCAAAGGTTTCTTTATATAGACATATTGGATTCGCCCGGTGGCTAGTTAAAATATGACTCACTTAGTCCATATATATTTTTACTCGTTTAGTTGACAGTACAATGTTAAAATAGCTCATACATATAGATAACCATACAAATCTGACTGAAATAAAAATGTAAAGCTCACGAAAAAAAGAAGAAACAATGAAATCAAGCTTAACTCCAAAATCAATATTTTTTACCATATTGCTGGTCATATTTTAAATGTGAGTTGGAAATTATTTATTGAACACCTAGTTTAGCAAAACATTATATTGCTCCCATAACTCTGACAAAATGTTTTAGATGTTGTCGACATGAAATTTAATTTCATTGTTTCTTTAATGATTTAGGTAACTAATTAACAAAAAAAAAAAGAAATATGTTTCATTAATATATATATTTGTTAATGTAGTTGTCTAACATAGCCGTTTCAAGGTTAATACATGTATGTTTTCTTCTTTATAACAAATTGTAAAATTAGATAATATTTCAAGTTTACCACTGTAATAAAGATTTATTTCCTTTCATTGGATACATCAATGATAAAAATGAGAAGAGACAATAATTATTGAAATATGAAGTAATATATAAATAAGTGAAAGTTCACATTTAAACAAACAGCATCTCCGCAACCTTTTGAAGTGCTCGTCATGAAAACCGCATTTTTTAAATATGAGGATATGTATTAAGTTTGGGTGAAGATTAGACCGGTTTTTTGTACAGGGCAATAGAATTTTTATAACATGGGCTAATATACATGCATTAGCCCAACCAAGAAATTTGAATGAAAAACTACAGCAATTCTAGTTGAGGGAAGGATTAGCTAATAAAGTTAATAGAGGTTTCTTATTGTAGCGCCATGGAAGGAAAATTTTGATCATAGTGAAAATTGTCCATAGAATTTGCGCGTGTAAAGAAAATCATAATCAAAAAAACCAAATGGGACAGATAATAAAAAAAATTGTAAATGGTGACCAAATTGGGTTTTTTTTAATATACGAACATGAAAGTTAATAGATTGATGAACCTTCACACAATTTACCTGAATCTCTGTAGTATATATTCAATTCCTTTTGCCGTTGCAAAGTCATAGTGGCCCTGTAAATAGCGTCGGCAATCACCGACCTTGTTTCACTTAAAGCACTTCCATAGCACAAACGACGTGACGTCAATTGAGCTGAAACGCCATATATCATAGCAAGGCATATCAACACTTTGCATAATTGCATAGCTTCGATTCTGCAAGGAAAAATATTTATCATTCAAATTAATATCACACACTTGCAGGAACTAGTATTAACTTATTAAGATAGTTTAGTATTAAACACAGTATTAAATGCTGCACGCTGAAGATGTATACCTTGAAATGTTTATATTATTTTTCCAAATAATTAGTTTCAAAAGGTTAGTTTTGTCTGTATTTTTTTTGTACAATGCATTATTCATATAATAATAATAATAATAATAATAATAATAATAATAATAATAAGAATAATAATAATAATAATACCGGGGTAATAATAATTATAATAATAATACCGGGGTAATAATAATAATAATAATACCGGGGTAATAATAATAATAATACTAATAAAAATAGTAATAATAATAATAATGATAATACATAACTCATGTTGCATTTTGATTACTGTAATAACATGTATTGTATCTAACTATCTCAGTATTTAAAATAAGATTGTGCATGGATTGAAAAATTGTCTCGTAAACTATAAAATGATGATCAAAAAATGTCTTAAGAAGAAATGATAAATGATGAAAATGTGCCACCATCAATGTAAAAAGGGGAGGATAGTTCAGCAAACCCGAACTATAAGTTAAGCTTTAATCGAGATTTTCTAATTTTAATTTTGTTACAGACTTGTATTTGAGAAACAGTCTAGTTGATGCAAGCTATATTTAATAATCTTTGTCAATATTAATAATTATTGTAAAAAAGAAAACAGTACTACAATTATTTATATGTAAGGTTCTTTTCTAAACATTCTTATAACTACAAATTAAAACTAAACATTTTGCAACATGGACATTTATATATAAATACATTTATAGAATATAGTGAGAAAATAAATTAATTCATTAACTGTATTAATTGTATAAAATCAATAAAGCACAAACCTTAGATATGCCGTTATCCAAACTTTTTAGTATCTTTACTATATTCCTTTTTTATTTTAAATTTATGTTTTTAGCAACACCCATTTGGTCGTTTGATTTCACATTGAAACATGAATTTTGTTAATTTATAAAGCGCAAACTTTAAATATGCCGTTATCCAAACTTTGAATTATCCTTAGGATATTGTAAACTTTCAGTTTTTAATTTATGTTTCAGGAACACTCATTTGGTCGTTTGATTTCACATTGAAACATAAATTATGACTATTTTTTCAACTTGTACCTTTGACCTGAGACTCGATTGAAATGAAAATGTGGTTTAGTTAACGACAAAACAGGAAGATACAATAATACATCATCATTTTACATGTGTTTTATCATTTTATTTTGCTTCGAGGGCTATCAATTTTACAGTGTACTTATACCCATACCTGTTGTACTTACAGATTCCAGTGTTAAAGATCCTGTTACACATTTTTTATGGTTTTAAATCATAAACATGATGCTCTAATTAAGACTTGTCAATATTGTAGGTTCCAAAAAGCATTATTTATAAAGATATTACCGAATTTAATAGTTCGTGTAAATAAAGGGATGTAATTAGAAATTTATTTTCTATAATGTTTAAGTCAAATTTTACAATAATATTTAAATGATTGAATATAATATGCACAAATATTTGCAGTACATATCTTACATATTCTTTGATGTTTGAAAATTGTTTTATTTGCATAATTATGTACATATATATAATTTCACTTAGTGTGGTTAACCACTTTGATCAGTTAGGATCTTTGATGGTGGAAGATTGAATACTGATTGCTTAGAGACATTGAATATGATACTGCTTCCAATGTGTGTTATGAACAGACTCAATCTTTCCAGTTCAAGAGTTTTGAGAATTAAATATAGAAGAAACTCGGCATCAATTTGATCGCATCATATTCACGATATTTGATAATTATTATCTTCACTTTAAATGTACGTTTTTGTAATCTGTTAACCGAATTTTATAAAGAAGGAAAACAAAGTAAGGAGGTCACAACGAACAAAATATATCCAAAATAATTGCTGATGGGAAAAATTAATTTTTCCTGAGCGTCATGCTAAACCATTGCTGCTGATAAGTAAAAGTTTTTTGGGGTTTTTGTTGACCCCAAAAAAACGGTTTTAAAATTATTTTTTAAACTTAAAACATGATTGAAAATAAAACATTATAATGTATAAATTGGCTGCAGATTTTAAAATCCGATTGAGTTATCGGGTAACTTCTGTGTTAAACTATTCACTTTCACTGTTTGACTTTGTCTTTGTCTTATGCATGCTATCGATGAGGCATCTCCTCTGATGTAATATTGATAATATAAAAGTGTTCATATGAATATAGTTAGCATATTGATTAAAAATCCTGTTACTCAAATCTTTTATGGTTTTATATAAAAAATCTGAAAGTTTATCAATATTGTTAGGTCATAAAAAAGCATTATTTGTCAAGATATTACCGAATTTACATGTACATATGTAACATATTCTTGGATGTTTGGAAATTGTTTTAGAAGAATAATTATATACATGCATGTATATGAAATTTCGCTTAAGTAGTGTTACATCCTTCAATTCCTTTAACAATCATTCGAATAAAGGTTTGAGAACGTTTAATGAAGGTAAAAACACAACGCAACCACACAGTTATACCAGTACCATACCATTTATTCTTATTCATATAAAACTGGCCAATGGAATATATGATGGACAGCTATTACAACAATGTTTACATATGTATTGTAATTACAAAGTGTAAGAAAGAAAAACTTAAACACACAACTGCAGTAAGTCAAAATCTTATGGATTTGAATTCTTTTTCATAAACAACTGACTTTTGTAATTAAATTTAACAGGTAAAATTTGTTAATGATTGATACCACTGTTGTTAAAATATTGTTAAAAAAGCAAAGTAATTTTGTATTCTAAAGAACCTTTAAAGCTGTGTTACTTCACAATAGAATAAATCCATTTTTTAAACCCATATGTAACTATTATGATTATTTACTGTATTTACAAATGTTACGTGAGTCACTTCACAGAAAAAGAAAAAAAGTCGAATTTATGATTCGTTTGTTATTTAACTCCATATTGTGGTTACACAAACCCGATCAGCACTTTTAAAACTATGTTCATATCCCTGTACCAGAATTGATTTTATTATGATGATCAAATTATATCACTGTTAAGAAATCACATCAAGATATCAATATATTAATATAGGGTTAACGCACGTTTTTCCGTGTTATAACGTCTGCAGAGTCCCGAGGAACGGTTGGTGCCCGAGCCCGGTAGGGCGAGGGCTCCAACAGTACCGAGGGACTCTGCAGACTTTATAACACGAAATAAACGTGCGTTGACGCTATTATAGCATAAAATTTTCAAACAGATTCGTGATGTATAGTTTATACAAAACACAATTACATTAAATTCTTGTGCTTGGACGGTATTTATCCAATTCTATGTTTTACGTATGCGTTTCACTTTTTCCGGGGCCAACAACTTGGAAAATTCTCGGAACCGAACGAAATTTTGAATTTTAATTGATTTAACAAAGCTTGGCCTTTGGAGATTTATTATCTCAAGAAAAAAAACGTCACATTACTCTACCCTCTACCCAAGACAAAACATGGCCCTCAGAAATTCTTAGAGTGATTTCAGATTGACGGTAGAAAAAAGATCAGTGACATCAGAATCGGTTTTTTTTTTTCAAGCAAACAAGTTTATAAAAAAATCAGGCACTAAGCATTATCTCTCAAAAAATATAAAGAGCATTTATAAACATTAACATAAATAAAAAACATTTTCTCATATTAATTTTGTGTTTATCTAGTTTTGTAAGTTAATCGGAGTGTTAAACTGAATGACAGGTAGATTCTACTGTATTTGTTTACATTGACAACTGTCCGTTTCTTAGAAAGGGCGACAACCAAGATTAGCATCGATGTCTATACGCCGTTTTTCCGGCATAGTTACTGGAATATGCGACTGAGGCCCTCGAATCAATAAATTTCAATATAACAAGAGCGCACGACTCTTCGGCAAACAGGCCAAATCTTCATTTTTTGTTTGTTTGTTTACTGGGCCCTGTATGTATTGCGCATAGATGAAACCGGGCTATAACAAGAGCGCGTGACTATGTTAACACATGGTTTTGGTCCCGTTATAACATGGGCAAAAGAGGGAAAAATAGCCGATTTTATGCTATAATAATAATTATAATACAACAAGCCAAATAGTTTAATAAACATGACAACAAAACAAGATATAAAACTAACTGTCCAAAACTAATGATAGTTAATTGATTTATATGTTCAATATGTGCAAAAATTATTTTTATTCCAACCAAATTATTTAATAAAACTTGTAAAGCTAGTGTCTGAAGACCCGTCATAAAGTTCGACACTGCTAACCTTGTATCAAATGTACCTAGGTATCATGTGTTCTCAGATAACATACATAGATTTTTGCGCCAGTTGCAGGACTGAAAAATGCATTTGGCAGAGAGAGAAAAATTCAGTACAACAACTTTTAATTCAATAGGAAAGTTAAATAGCATGTCCCCAATGACTTGTCACAATTCTTATCTCTTGCTACATCTGCCACAGAGAGAAATCTATGTCATCCAACATGTTGCAATTGACCATTGGGTTCCTGGAAAATACAATCATACATTGATAAAGAACAATTCGTTACAGTCAATGTAAAACATATCAGAATATCAGAGTCTACAATGTGAAGAGATTCTGCTTTAAAGCAAAGAAATATCAGAATTTTAGAATCTAAAATGTGAAGAGATTCTGACAGAAACTCTAAAATCCAATTTTTTATGAAAAGGTTTCAAACACAGTCATGAAATATTATATTACATCTTAAATTCATTTTCCCAAATGAATTTAAAGTCCTTAAAGTCTATAGTTTTAAAGGTTTTGTTTTATATTGGCCTTTTTATCCACCTATTGTTTGTATATATAGATCACCCTGTCACACAGACATTGTCATTTGGCTACATTGGGCTTTGGATAAGGCAGGTACTTTAAATATGTTTGAGAATATTGATATTAGTAAAGTGTACATGTGACAACTATATACCCTTTAATCTGAAACAAAACTTACATTTGACCCGGCATTCGGAACGGATTCATCTGAACATGTGGAATATGAAAGTGTAGACACATCAGTTTAGCCAATGTCATCTTTTTAACAGAATTCAATTGATCTGAAAATAAATACACATTTTACAACCAAATAAATACCAACACGGTAAATGACACGGTTGTTCAAATGACTTTGTGTGAAGAAATGTTAAGTAATTCCAGCGTCCCACTGAGTGCCTTTGCAGTAGCTATAAATTATGAGAGCTGATTGCTCGGTGACTGCTGCTCGTCCTTGTTGATGTTATATTTATACTAGTAAATGAGATTCAGATTATAACTGAATTAAATAAAAAAAACTAGATGTAATGTTGTTGTGCGGTGTGAATATGAGCTGCTTGAGGCGTTGTCATTTTATTTTATTCATTTTAAGTTAAGATATATGGTGTCAATGATCCAGTTTTTAATTGCTGCCCGTTGGTCATAAAAGTCATATTTTTGTACTTTTGAAATAAACAATATGTTAATTAGTTTTTTTTGTTTTGGTCAGTTAGTGCTGTCTTGTGTTGGTCATAACTTTCATATCTGAAACCCTTTTACAAAATAACAGAAACAGAGAAATACAATTCTTACAAAAAGCCAAAAAAAAAAAACCCGCAAAACTTAAATGTTGCATGCTCGGTTTAATTGAGCCTGTTCATTGACAGTACTTGAAATTGAAAACTTTTGTCCACGCCCTCTGGCATCGGATTTAGCAGAATTTAACATTTAAACATGGTAATTATGAACTTTTGAATTTAGAAACGTCGTCGAATTCGTCGCTCATCATTATGTGCGGTAAACAAGAAACAGTGGGCGAAATCAAATTTAAAGTCATTTTGTAGTAAATAGAGAAAAAAAAGAATCACTAAATAAAGTCCAACAAAACATAATTGAAAATATTGCAGGCTCGGTTTGATTGAGCTTGTTCATGGACGGTACTGTAAAGTGCAAACTACCGTCCACATCCCCTAGCACCGGCTTTAGCAGAATTCAACATTTAACGTTAGTTTAAAATTATACCTGATATCAATAGTCACGAGCAAAACTTAAATTGATGTTTGAAAATGACCTGATTTAATATATATAATCGACGTTTAATTCTTTATGAAGAAAAGAGAAAAATTCGACGTCTAATTCTTTATGAAGAAAAGAGAAAAAAGGTTTAGCTAGGACTACAAACTAGCATTAAATCCTGTAGTTGCTCCATTGTTTTCGTAGTAAAATCTGTCTCCATATTTTAGATTGTAGAACTGTTGACCGATAATACAACTGAATAGTGGACCAATAACACCGCCTTCAACAGGTGTCTCTGATATGCCACCAGTAAAGATGTCAATATCGTCTGGGTGTCTGAAATATTAAATTTAGATACTATTCTGTAAATAATCATAAACATTTCGAAATATATGAAATAAATACGATTCAACAAAATCTCACTATAAACAATGGCTTTATCACACTACATAATCAATACATAATAATAAATGCACACATGATCTAATCTAGGAATGGATGAGTATATTTTATTAATATCTTATATCCAATCCAAACAGAGAACGAAAAATGGTATATTAAAGATATTTGTTTTATTTTTTCGACCAAGGTAATGTCAGAAAATGAGAAATTTTAACTTAAGTACCAGCGTAATTAATCTACGTATGAATTCAGTATACACTGACATTAACTAGAGCAAATAATATTAAGGATGCACCTGTAAATGGAGTACAGTTTATGAGCATTTTCTGGGGAATGGTGAACAAGTCCTCCTGCCTGGGTACCAAAATGCATTGCGAACGGAAGTCCACAGTACTTTCTCCAGTCGTTGTAACTGCAATGTATCAATATTATTTGTATGCTATTCCCCCCTAAAGAAAGAGTAATTGCAAATAACTCGATTACAAATTAAAGAATCAATTTTAATCAAATTCCTTAAAGTCGAATTATATTATTCACAATTTCGAAAAAATATATGGTGGAAAAGAACTATACCCTGCGATTCCATGGTCTCTTCCACGCTGAATATTCAAAGAAATCAGATCGAAACTCCGCCCATTCATATCTAAAAATAATTTTTCCTGCGTGTCACAATTTTCTCGCCCCGCCTTAAATGGATGCCCGACAACCAACCCAACAAAAGTCCCCTTTGCGCTACAAAATCCCATTGCAGGGATTGAAACCCTTTTTGTTTCGAATGCACCCAGTAGTTTCATGAAGAACGTGTTTGTAAGAGGGTGACAAAATGGAAGGCAGTGGCCAAATTTTTAAAATTAAAAGGACCACGATGGATAAAAAACTTTATTAGCCCCATTGGTAAAAGGAGCAAGCCCCATTTATATATTGTCTCCAATAACATGGGGAAGACTGGAATAGGTAATATTTTGATACTCAGCGATAAAATTTTTTAGTTTCCCTGGACAGATTTTCATCAACATTTAGGGTTCATCTTCTGTAGGATTATATTGTTTGCTGAGTTTTTGTATTTAACCGGGCATCACAATGAATTCTAAAGTCACCTGAATAAAGACATACACATTGTTAAATTTACGAATCTGAAAAACTTCAATGTGAAATATTTGATCAACTTGAAATAATTTTTAACATATGTAGTCATCTATAATGTACTTTCATATGTCATTCTTCAATGTTAAGCAGTGTAAGAGGTCAGATATTACAAACATTTGAATATATGAGCCGCGTCATGACAAAACTAACGTAATGCGTTTGCGACCAGCATGGATCCAGACCAGCCTGCGCATCCGCGCAGTCTGATCAGGATCCATGCTGTTCGCTTACAAACCCTATAGCAAGTAGAGAAACTGATAGCGAGCAGCATGGATCCTGATCAGACTGCGCGGATGCGCAGGCTGGTCTGGATCCATGCTGGTCGCAAACGCACTTTGTTGGCTTTGTCATGACGCGGCTCATTTAGTAAAGCCACTGCTCATATCTTAGGCAACACCTCTATAGAAATAAGAATAGAGCTGTTTCTATTCATTTCTTCGTAGAAAGCTATTACCGAAAGAGGATACCGCCTGATTCTATTTATACCTGATTTCATACAGTAATCTCCCTGACTTTGTAATTCACAATGAGTTTGATCCTCAAGACCAGCCGGGAAAAGACCAGTGTCAGTCATCTTTAGTTTACCTATATGTAGAAAAAAAGAAATGCCAAACAATAATAAGGACAGTAATTTTGATATGTGATGTGCAACGAGGCATGTTAAATATACCTCTTCTAGAAGATAAATTCTATCTGTGCGAATATAAAACTATAGCAAAAATATTACAAAACAAACAAAAAATCACTCCAAAACATAAAAACACTTGAATTCTTATCATTTCGTTCATATGTAAAAAGTCTTACTGTGAAAGATGAACATTGAATCCAACTTACCATTTTGGAATGATCTAATCTTGCCAGCATCTTCGTCATTATGACCATAAAGAATATGAGGCATCAAGGAATGATGTGGCCTGGTTAAGCTGGTCACGTCGACCTAAAACGATATGGTAAATTAAAAATATACGCCTGTAATGGTGAATTTGATGATACATTAGATGATATAGTTGCTTGTGCATTTGATTCTATTTCACATACTTGTTATATAACTCTACACCTTATTTCCTCTTGTGGCAGAGGCCTTTAAGGCTTGAGCTAACACGTTTATTCCTGCGTGATCTAAATAGGTTTTAATTCTGGAGTTTACGCAACTATTAGCTTCAGCAGGTGAGGTGGTTTTGAATAACGTACTCGAGGTCAGCCAAAATAATTTTACCTGTTTTGGCGCCATGTGACCTAAATAATGTTTGTGGACTGTAAAACCAAAACAAAACAAACAAATTACATTTCTTTGCAGAAGTAACAACTAGTAATTCAAAGTAGTACGTAAAAGTGAATGATGAACATTAAAATGAAATTTATCATGATAATATTACTAACCATATATATAATACACTAGTATAAGTAGGGACAAATGTTTCTACATCCTTGGCTATAAAAGTATCCAGTGCATACAGGACTTTTACGGATGTCAATAATATAATGGTGCTACTGTAACAGTTCTCTCAGACTAGTACTAGAAAATGCATGAAGTAAAAATACCTATATCACACGAATCAGAATGTCCAGCAATAGATCTAACAAAGTTCATGCAAGGTTCCTGAAATCTCTGGTCTCCGGCATCAATAGGAATTGGGAAACATTCAGATCTGAAAAAGTTAAAAGGTAAAAACAAAAATTGCGTCTGTGTTAATAGTGATAAAGACTACGATGTCTTGTGGACAACACGCCTTATTCACAACAGAAGAGTGTTTAAGACACCTAGATATAAATGTTTTTCCGACATCATGGGTATACAAACAACGTATATAACTACATGTATGTATGATATGAATATTTTATATGTTAGTGAGTAGTAAAGAAAATGATATTAAAGATAAGTTACGCGCTCTTTAAGTTCCATATAAATGTATGGGTTATAAAATTTGAATCTTTGAAATGCCGAGGTAACATTTCCTAAACACTCATAGAATTTCATGCTTTGTGTCACATACACAAATGGAATATTAAAGGTGCTGTTGCACCACTATAACAAATTTTTTACCTTTGCATAAGAACATCTTTTGTTAGATTACAACATATGACAGTGGCGTCGTTAGCACCTCTTGCAATGGCTGTGTCTGTAAGGTCATGGTCAATCATCTGTCCCCATTGCATCACGTACAAACTAAGGTCCCTCTCTTTCAGTGGACAACAAGGGTCTTGATTGTGAACTACGTTACTAACTGTACGGGCGCTGGGTAGATATTCGCCTGTAACGCCGGTTTGGCGTGGTAATCCAATATCTAGAAGTACACAGAAATGGCAAAAGAGATTGTAATATAACATTGATTTTAATACGTCTGGGTTCATTTCTTTATTTAATATATTAGATGAATTGTCGAAAATATAAACTAAAATATCAAAATTGTATATATTATTAACATAACTAGATGTATCCATTTTTCATTCTAATTTGAATATTTACAAACCTTGACAAATATCTACTAGTAAAATACATTATCAGTGTTTTGTCTATCAAATAAGAAATTAGATCAAGGAGTGCAATATTTTCAAATACCATCCATATATTTTGGTTTTAAAAAACGAAGGTGTGGTCTGTTTGAACGTCCCCAAAGCGGATTTTGCAAGTTATTGCAGGAACCGTCGATTGTTCTATATTTAGCACTTGCATCACAAATTGCATCACGGCGAATACAGAATGGTGAAATAAGTTCATGCCATATTTGTGGTACACCGGGACACTGGTACAGTTCGTCTGGACTGACTCCAAGGCTTATATGTAAATAAACAAGCAATAAACGAAATAAACGATTTTTTTCCCAAAGAAAAAGCCATGGTCACTCTCTGTCATTTTTTATGTAACCCTTTGTAAAATCAAATGTACACATGTACCAACATGAATTCCGCAATATGTAAATAATGAAAAGCTGATGACTCAAAATTTGTCATTCATTTTACTGTATAATAAATTCTTAAATAATTAATTATAGATGTTTTTTTTTTTTTTTTTTTTGATTTAGCGATCATTGAATGTATACATTTGTTGTCCACTTATTCTGCACACATTGAATGACATACCACAATAATTATTGATTTTTTTTTCTTAAGATCTTTAATGCCTGATAGTATAGTATACAGTTTGTAGTTACAACATCAACAAGCACCGTGACAGAAGTGAATACGTACGCATTTGGAGATGAACTTTGTAGCAAACTGAACAATGTAACCGCTGTCCACTTGAACGGATGCCGGCAAGTTGAGATGTGAGAAAAGGCGGCGTAATGCTGATGGTACGTCTTTGGCATATATGGTGTCGGGTTCATAGCCTCATCATGTCCTATTATAATGTATGTTTGCCGGTTGATACAAATTTTTGTGAGATTGTATGTTATAAAAAGTTGAGTGATATACAACGTAAATTTACAAATATAGATATGACAGTTAAAAGTTTCAAAACATCGAACTAATGTATTTAAAGGGAAATATCCAATTATCCATAAAAAAGAACATACTGTATTTTTATCAAAATATGTTATATATTAAATTAAATTATATTTTATATGGCTGATTAAGTTTAATATGCGATATTTTATGGTATAATATGTTGCAAGGTCTATATAAATCCTGTTTCTGTTTGTACAATGAAACAAGATAAGCATCATCATGTTTTTGTATCATGTATACAATACAATAACGAATGCATTATCTTGTCATTTATTGCAGGATCCTTGATTAAAAATGCAATTAAATAGTTTAAGGAAATAACGAGCACATCTGCTCGAATGACAATTAATGTTTTTGAAACTAAACAAAGAGTGTAATATACATTCTCATTATATTTACTGTGCAAATATACACACATTTTACAATGTAACATGTATTATAGAAGTGTTTACAGACGAGGTGGGTCGAAAATTCATACATCATTATAGTTGACCCTCACCATAAAGTCCCCTTGTATTAACAGTTATTTGAATTTATAGGTGTAATGTTTACGAAACTTGATAATTTTCAAATGGCAACATAATTGTAAAGCATTATCCCCTTCCACACAAAAAAATGATTGCACGCGAATGTTGCATCTTCTGTCTCATTTTACAATAGATTGTCATTTTCGACTGTGCAAATACACTAATCCTTTATGTGTTTGATATATGTGTTGTATTACTGCATGGTTGTGTGCATATTTAAAGCTATATCTGTCTAATTTAAATCGGCGAGATTGTTGTTTATTGAATACCCTATACTTGAGTTTCTTTAATTGCAGAATTGTTGTCTTTAGGCTTCAAATATATTAGAACTCTGTTCTGTCTTGTAAAAATGTGAAACATCTTTAAAGACTTCCCTTCGCATTCTTTTGTCCTAAACAAATATAACAAATGTTAAAAACTACCTGTCATACTGAAGTATTCATTCAGTTGTTTTTCACTGGCAAGAGAAGCTCTAGCTTTTGTTATAGCTTGCTTGATAATGGCGCGAATCTGCATTCATGTTCATTCCTGCGATGATCCGCCCATCATCTGCGCTTGCGCACACCATGTTACCAGTGGACAGACAAAAAGCAACAGCCAGATCATTGACATCTGTGAAAATAATAAATTAAATATAAAATTGAAAGTTTGTTTAATTAATCGTAAAAAAATCAGTATGCACAAAGAACATACATGTCCAAAGTATAGTATATAAGATTGTTCTTTTTTAGTGAATCGTACGGGACGCAAGTTGTGTACATAGAAAACGTATACAATGTTGCCAATGTATTAATGGAGAAAATTGTTAAAAAAGGAAGAAAAAAAAGAAAGAAAGAAAGAAAGAAAAGAAAGAAAGAAAAGATAAAAGAAAAAAGCTTAAAGAGTTATTTCAGTACAAAAAAAATATATTTATAACTGTCTTGCAAAAGATTTATTGAAACATTAATCAAAGTACTCATGATCATTTGAACTATAGAAGAAAAATAATTGTGTAAATTTACTTAAACTTACATTGTGGCGACCTGATTTTTTTACAAATAAAATGTATTATACAATCTTATATACATATGGAGATAATTAAGAATGGTTAAACATTTTATAAACTTTTCGCGCCGACAATTCTTGCTTTGTTTCAAACATTTCAAGTTAAAATCTGTATTTGTTGTAAATACACGGTCTTCTTCCGCAGAAGGACGACAAACATATAAGTCCGGACAGAATGTACCCTTTGATGTACAGAAACCGCTATAACATGTAAGGTTTTGAAGTTAACATCACAAGTTTCATCGAGTTGTACATGATGTTCATTTGTCACATTCGAAACACAGAGACATTAAAACTATAAACCTTACATAAGCATGCGAAAATAGGCACAAAACATGTTATGATATTTAAAACGTAATTTGCATTTCGAATTCACATTCAGTTAAACACGATTAAATTCAACAATTAAGACATTTCTCGTCTAATACACAAGTCGTGCTTTCCTTCACTTACCTTAAATGTAATTGCTGTACATACATTTTATTACAATTAGACACCACAAAAATGATGTTTAAAATTGTTTGTGTTTCAATAAGCAAGTGTTAAATGGATAAGCATCAATTTTTTTTTATTTCAGTGTTTAACAATATTCATAGGTTGAAAGTTCAACACGAGCTAGACACTAAAGTGATATCCGTACACGCATTCTAGTTGCCTGGTCATTGACCTTTACCTCCAAGATCCAAGTTACTCCATGGTTTAAGGGATATACAGCTAACTCTGCTGAATTATTTTGTTATAATTAATGAACCGTTACGATAAAATTATACTTTTTCTTATGATCGATTCACATAGAATTCTATTTTACACATATGAACACGTAGTCTGAATAAAATATTTGAGAAAAAATTATTATGCTTAACATGTAATAATTTAAGTCAATTTTTAACCGTTAAGCAGCGATTTTCTCCAAACGCCATTTGCCCTTACGGAATTATTCAAACATATAATTGATATATTTTTTTAATTATTCTTTTCTTATTCAAAATTAAAACAATAATTTTAAAATCTACAAACAGAAGATATATAGCTTTATACACTTTAACGTCTATTAAATTTCTAAATTGAGTCTTTTTTGCTGTCACGTCATTTTTTATCAGTAGAGCTATAATTTTTTCCTACTGTCAGGTCGTTTTTATCAGTATAACGACTTATGATCAGATCAAGATCCTATCATGCACACTAGTTCTTTTTTCGCATGTTTTAATGGCACACGTGGTAAAAGGACCTCTATGGAGGATTTAAAAAAAAGTCTCCGGGTACATGTACAATTCCAAGAGCACAATTTATAACAACGTTATAATCTTAGATTGAAACAAATTTTTGAACTATAATGTCTTTGATATCTAACAAACAATTTTCCAAAGATTATAAAACTATTTTATGAAATCTATATACATTAGAGTTTAAATAAATTTTTTCAGATTCCAAAAGTAAGAAGATCTTGAGCTTTGATCACCCGTGTCTTTTAATACGTAAAAAGATCAACATCTAATTTAAACAAAAATCGCATATAAGCCCTTCACCGATATAAATTGTTATTCCACGTCACACAATTTTCAGGTTATTTTGCAGTAAATTGCATTATTATAAAATCTTCTTTTCTTAGCATAAAAAATAAAACATTGTTTTGTTAAATGTGAATTGGGTCAATAATAAAAGGTATAAAGTACCAATAAAAATAATCGGTGTATATAGTATTTATTATCATACATGGTACATTAACAGCAAACCCATGGTGAAACATTTAATGTTATTTGGTAAGTGGTGAGATTATGATCTGAATAAATACATAATTTTATTAATGTTAATAGCAGATAATTAAATTTTGTTCTGAAACCAAAGTATTAATTTTTGCATCAAATATATATTCATCTACTTTCATTATTTAGAAAGCTTCATCAACAATTTTAAAAGAATTATGTTATTAAAAATATCCAGAAGAATTAAATTTGAGCCGTGTCCACGACAAAACCAACATAATGGGTTTGCGACCAGCATGGATCCAGACCACCTGCGCATCCGCGCAGTCTGATCAGGATCCATGCTGTTCGCTTTACAAACCCTATAACAGTAGAGAAACTGATAGCGAACAGCATGGATCCTGATCAGACTGCGCGGATGCGCAGGCGCTGGTCTGGATCCATGCTGGTCGCAAACGCATTACGTTTTGGTTTTGTCGTGACGCGGCTCATTTCTATGGTTTTTATCAATAATGAAAACACTTTTGGGGAAAATGGGCCTATTGGTAGACCAATCCACTTTAAGCATTATAGAAAATAACACATCGGACATTATCAATTTAGCAAATGATGAAATTAAACATGATACATTAAATTTTAGCCTACTTCTACACCTTTATAATGAAGTACAGCAGAACTTGTCTCAGCCATACTTAAATAATCGTAAAATGCAAATGGCAACAAAACACAACTGTATAAGTGTTGTACTCAAATGTTGTTCTTGATTCAAGAAATTATTACTAATATGTTGTTCAAATTAATATCTGAAAACATGTTGTGAGTTTATGACATGCTTTTCATTATAATAGATAAAAGGTAATTACAATAAAATAAATGTCACGGCGATAAAACCACACTGCTCACACTGCCTCGTGCCATTAAAGTCATTTAATATCAAAGAAGTGACCTGTGTTTGTGTCTCTAAAATTCAAAATGAAGCTTCCCAGGGCTCAACGGTAAGTCAATATATCGTTTTGCACATCCACTTTGATGTAGCTCAACAAGATTCGAGCTTATGTTACTTAGTATATCTTTTTAGTAGTAAAACAACAACAATTAATGAGTGGGAGAAAACAGAAGTTAAAGATAGAGTTGTTTGGAGTTTCGATTGTTTGTTATAGTTATAACTTTGGGTGGATCGACCCAAAACCAAAACCAACGTAAGATATAAAAATAATAGAATAAAATAAAGAAAGAGAAAAAAGACAAAACAGGTTAGTGATATTAATATTGGTTTAAAATGAGTAAACGATACTGTGGAATAGCCGTTGGTTCAGGATATATCAAGTTGATTTACTTAGAACATGGAATATAGCTCC